TGTCGGAGACACGCTAGCTTTCCCAAGGCAGACGAACTTAGAGTGGTTACATCCGGGATTTAAATTACGCTCAAATTGATTTGATTTTGACGCAATATTTACACTGAAGCTCGCAGGCGGCTATGGTAAGGGGCATGACGTTTCCCGACCAGGCGCCGAGTGCTGCCAATCACAACACACACTGGCCCAGCTAACCAATCACAGCACATTTCGTATTTCCTTCATTTGATACAGGAACTATTCGAGCCGTTCATGCCAGACTGGGGAGAGAGGTGTTGTAATAATGTAAAATATGTGAAAAATAATGTGTTTTTCGAACAACCTAGTATGAGAGCATGTTCTAGTACACCCACAAAACAAAATCAAGACTTTGTAAAAGAGCATAATAGGACCCCTTTAATAAAAAGAAGGTCTGCTTCAGTGTTTTTTGGGCTATAGAAAGGGCAAAGGGGTCATGTTTCCAGATCAGATTACGTCAGCTGCAGTGCCTCACCAGAAGAGACAGTGAGTCATGTTCAGTGCTTGGGAGCCGAGCCGCCCTTTTGACAACATGCAATGCCACTGAATCAACTGGTGCCATGTGAAACAGTCTCAACGTCATCTGCTGTTAAAATATCCTATTCGGAGGTTCTTGCTAAGAGAGACTGTCTAGAATCATTACCGTCTGGGTTGGTGATAGAAATACTAGGGTTTTATGACATATTAGTGCTTTCAATCGATTAAAAAAAATGTACTAATTAATTGAAATTTTTTTCTAAAATTAATCACGATTAATCCCACTTAACATTTAAAGTTTTTAAATAAACTTTTATATTGCAATCATTTCACTTACAATCTTCAAATTAATGTAGAAACAACATAAAGAGAGTGTATTTTTTAATATTTGTTTAGTGGCATCTTTATGACTGAAGGCGAGTATCACTGATACCAATACTACAACTCATATGAAATAGATAATTATTCCCCCCTAATATTTAACCATTGACTATAGCCATTCAACGTTACAGTATTATTGAGAGCTATCAATTTGAACATTTATTAGACTTTAAAAAATAACAAGTCTTCACATAAACCCTTTATAATAAATGTCATATTTAGTTACCTGTGCCCTTCAGCAAGTATGAAATATACAGAAATTGATAAGTTATCAAACGCTAAATTCTAAATTAAATCTAGATGAATCCTTAAAGCTACAAAAGTGATTGATTTCCTAATTTTTCTTCTGTTCTTTGATTAACAGACATCACAGCAGCTGGGTTATTAGGTTATTTTGGCAGCTTTAAGAGCTGCCGCTGCTGAACATGACACGGATCTGACACACATCGTATTTTCTCACAACTCTTTACTTTTTCTGACACACTTCAGGTCTTAAAGTCTCTACTAATGAGCTGACGAGTTGAATCGGGTGTGCTAGATGAAGGAGACTGTGGTGCTCCAGGACAGTTTTGAAAACCACTGCATTTCAAAGATATGTTCTTAAAAGTGACCCATATATAACAAATACTTACATGCATGCATAGTTTTAAGACTGCTCCAATCACCTTTTTTTTTGGTAACTTGATGACTTAACTGATGACATAACTACGACATAGCATGCTCGTAGGTTCATTTCCGCTTTAATATGAAATGATATACATATAACTCCATATAAGCATTTATTTTATTCAATTATTTCTTTTTTTATACAGTTTCTCAGCTGTTAAATGCTCTTTATAGTGCTCAAAACACTCATTTACCTGAATGTGTATAGGTCAAGATATTATACATATTTGAAATAAATTTTTACAATAATAAAATGCTTTCTATAATCCCAA